TTCAATATTTATCTTTAAATTTTCACTGTTGAACAGAAATTAAATCCACATAAAATGTTACCTTCTTATGTTTGATGATTTCATGTCACTGGGTAAGGGAACATGCTGTGATTTTCCTGGCAGGGTGGACATTTATTATATTCTGGCACAGGGCCAACGAATGTCACTTTCCATACTCCCCACCCACCTGGAACCATTTGTTCAGACATAGTCAAAGAGTATCTTTTATTGCAGGGTTTTTTTTCCCAAGAACTTCCTGGAGATTCTCATTTATGATGGCCCCAATGCCTGTTTTGGGGATCTAACGCACAGTATTTGTATCTGATGCTCGAGTAAATAGCTCCTGCTTTTGCTGTGGCCCCTAGTGGTTCCTCAGGAGCAGGAAGGGGGATAGAAAGGAATGGCAAATGTGGGAGAGATTGTAGTGTTAGAATTCAGCACGTGACTTGGTAATATATTACCGGATGTGAGAGAATCAGGCAAAAGTTTAACAGTATTTGTTACCATTTACTTTGCTGCTTTAATCATTTCAATGATACTATGAGGAAAGCATTATTCTTCCCGATTTACAAATGTGGAAACAGACTCAGAGAAATTGTGTTCCGTTTAGGGTGAGCATAGCTACTGAAAACAGGTAGAAAAGGTGAATTTAACTTTGGATCTGGTCAAGAGAGGAACATCTTGTGAGAAACTTCAAAGAGTAATTTGAAGAAGCAGGTTTGGAGCTTGGGAGAGAAGATGGGGCTAAAGGGATAGTTTTGGAAGTCCTGTGGGATAGTTAGAATATTGGAGATTTTCTCTTCATGTATTATGGAGTCATCATGGCGGTAGTTAATTGGATCTTCACTTATGCATTGCTCCCTACCACTCTTTTCAGAGCATAATCCTGACTGCCAAGGGAGCATTAATTTCGTTTACAGGAGACTGCAGAACATGGGCATATGCGGTAACCTTATGGATAGGCTTTCTTGGCCCCATTTCACATCAGCATCCCTGTTGGTAATGATGGACTGCTACAGCAGAGCTTCTAAGCATAGGAAGACGGGTATACCGTCTTGGAAGATGCGTCAGAATCGCCATTTGTGTAGTTTAAAGCCCTTTACTCCTGTTGATTCTGAGCCTCTTCTAATACACTTTTTTTAGAATCACTGTCCTAGACCCTTATAGGGTTGCTATGAGTCGGAATCAACTTGACGGCAACGGGTTTGGTTTTTGGGTTTTGGTCCTAGACCCATAAAGAGAGAGTGCAGATTGTTGCTTTAATTCTACTTGTAAAGAGATATCTTTTTGTTACTTAATTGGGAAAACATAGAAAAAAATACATTACTACTATTACTAGTTGTCATTGAGTCTGTTCTGACTCATAGAGAACCCCATGTGTTGCCAAGATCTGTACTCCATAGGGTTTTCTTGGCTGTGATCTTTCAGAAACAGATCTCCAGGCCTTTCTTCTGACGTGCTATGGGGAGGTTCAAACTGTCAGCCTTTTGGTCAGTAGTCAAGTGCTTAACCATTTGCACCACTCAGGGATTCCTAAAAATATATTAGCTTCTTTAGTATTGCAAAGAAGAGATTACAAGATTACAAGGAAATA